AATTTAATATGAATTTAATATATTCATTTAACTCACATGCTCCTTGAGACGATTCAACATTTTCTTAATATTCTCATCGCGCAAGGCCTGAGCAGTCTTCAATTTCTCCTCGATGGCCTTCTGCTCATTGGCCTTCTGCTGCTCCAGAGTCTCGCGCGTTTTCTCAATCTCCTGGGCATGAATCTGTGTTGGGGGCATACAAATAGATTGGTAACCTTTTAATTTATAGAGCCAGCATACGCACCTTTAGCTTTTCCTTCATGTCGCTGATAATGGCCTCGCGCTTCTCCACATGATTCTCCATTTTGGACTCGAGCTGCTCCTTGGTCTGAGTGATGAACTCGTTGGTAATCTCATCCTTTTTGCGTGTGGCCTCTTCGACCTTGGCCAGTTTAATCGAGATCTCGGCCATCTTGCGGGCCTCCAAGGACTGCAAGGAAAACAAATTATTGTCGATTAATCGATCGATCTTTATGTTCTCTAGTCTCAGTTCACACTCACAATGCGACGCTCCTCGGCGGCCTTTAGCTTCTGCTCAATCTCCTCGGCGCTGACATTTTTGCCAGGGGTGACGGGTCGCTTAGGCACGGCCACATTGGGTGCCGGCTCGGCCAAAATAACCTCATAGCTGAGCCCGCCGCGCGACTTCTCCTGGCAACGGATCTCAGTGGCTGCAAGGCAAATGAAAGTGAGAAACCCCGTTTAGTAATACAATATTTGTGCATTTTGCAAAGGGAGCTGCTGCTTTTGCTTATTGTTACTTATAAGAAGTATATATATATTTCAGGATAATTTAGCTGGGCACAAGACACCCCCAGGCTGCACACAACGTGACGTCATTCGCACAAAGTATTTACAGCAAAAAGAAAGAACTGACATTTCTGGGGGTGACAAAGATTCAAAGCCTCAGCAATAATTAAATTTCTAGAAGAAACATATATACATATATTTGTTTAGCAATATTTAACTTGCATTTTCTTAAGTTTTATGCTCAATTAGGAAATTAATTATTGAACGATTATTTTAATAGATATTTAGTATAGATTTTCAATAATTTAAACATATTAATATTCGTAAAATATAAAAAATATTAATATAATAATATGCAATACATTATTTTATAAATAAATTAAATTGTTTATTCATATTCAATAAAATATTTAACTTTTATATTTAATTTAATTTTTCTATTATATATATATTTATATATAACATATTTAATTATTATTATATTAATATAATGTAATGGTCAATCATTCTTTATAGGCACCTTATAGAAGATGATTAAGAGAAATTAGATGTAGACTAGATGCATCCAATGTAGACTAGAAGAGATAATTTTTAGACATCCCCGAAGGTCGCCATCTATAATCAATAAGAAACCAGGCAAATTCTTTCACCTTGGCCTTCGTTCGCACCTTTAACCAGTTGAGAATTATAAAAACAGCACAGCGAGCGAAATCAGAGTCAACTTCTTGTGTTTTTTAAGCTTAAGCTTAACGTAGGGCAATCATTTTTCTAGATTGTAGACGGAGCTTATTTAACATTTTAAATTAAATGTATTTATTTAATTAAACTTTCAACCATAATTATAGCCGGAAGTAGTATTATAATAGCCATGTTTAGATCGATTAAGCTGAATACATTTATACCAGATTTTCAACTAAACTAGTCACTAAATACACTTTAATTAAAAAAACCGGCAGCAGCTGCAGCATAAGCTGGGCAGCTGTTAAAAATCCTTAAAAATAATTAAGGTCCGTGCGCATATTTGCAATACATTAACAATTGCTGCCATCTTTGGCCTCGCCTAGCTGCTCTTGCGGCTTTTTGTTGCACATTTTAAGCGCAACTTTGATTAATGTGCAACGCGTTGCAATGTTGCATTCGCCAAAGCCCATTTTCGCGCTTTTCATGTGACCATTTATCATATACATATACATATACATATACATATACATATATATATATGTATATATACATAAAGTATACGAGCGTGGAATAGTGCCACGTAAACAATATGCAAAAATGTAAAGAAAATAAAGAAAAACATTTCTCTGCACAATTATGATATTAAATGCAACGGAAAATGCATTTACACAGCTGTGCATTAAATGGAAATGCCACAAGAGTTCCCCAGAATGTTGACTACTTCAATTACAAATATGGTTAAAACAAATTCCAAGGTGTAGAGCTCTTTGATAATGAAATTCTTGAGTGCAGAACTGTTTTATAAACAAATGAAATTTCAGATATGCCATCCAAAGAATTTTTCAAATTTACCTAGAACAGCTTTAGGGACTAAGATAGAGATAGATAAGCTATTGGAAACTGCAAATGGGAAGTTAAAGCCCAGAAATCTATATTTTATTCTTGAAAATTTCCAAAACCTAAAAAAGAAGGTACACACAGGTTCCACACAGGTTAAATGGAGAGTTCCACAAGATTCTGATCCTGTTAAGTCCTTTAATTATAGATATGGTAAGAACAATGGTGTTATTTAAAATATTCCTGATAAAGATATCGACCTAAGGTTTAAATCGAAACAGGTTGTTTCGAGCTCTCAGTTCGCAGTTCGTGAACCCAGCCACACAGATTATCTTCAAGTCAGAAAACACACCCTATTATTTTGCCTGAAAAATGTGCGAATATCTGTGATTCCAATGCACGACGCAAAGCAATACAAAACACAGCCTGAAATTGCAAAGCTAAGCATAATAGAAACTACAATATGAGAGGCAGGAAGAAAAACAACCCCCAAACAAAAACTAAATATAGCTTGCAAGACGCTCAAATGAAGTGGAAAATTTGTTGGCAAAACACATTCAACGGGGATAGGGTATCCAATGCGGCGGGGTTGGGGCACTAACGGATATTGTGTAGGTGTCGAACAAATTGTCTCGTCTGTCCGACTGGCTAACATCTAACGCCGTTGACACATAATTTGCCATTATTAGTGAGTGTCAATCACAAACACGTTTGTGGTTTCGATTTTGATTTCGATTTGAGTTTTAGTTTTTTTTAGAGGCTTTGATTAATGTTGGGCCACGTGCGCATGTGGTTTGGGCGTGGGGCAAAGGTTGGAAGCAAAGCAGAAGGTGTGGACAACGCACAACTTAAGCTGCCCAAACGGTTTGCATTTGACTTGCAGATGCGCAAAAACCCTTTTTTTCGGGATTAAAAAGGAAATCGAAAGAGCACAATTACATTCGGGCTAACGAAGAGCGAATACCCTCACAAGCCTATCCTCAATTTGCGATATATGAATATCATTTATTATCAATTAGCTAGGTCTTCATTTTGTCATAAATTAATATCCTTTATTATCAAGTCCCCTTAGTCTAACGAAGAGCTAATACCCTTTTTTTACCGAAAGAAAATGTTCAGAATAGGTTGATTTAGCGTATATAAGAAGCTAAGCTTGGGTAGTTTAAAATACCTTTTTTATATAATGGCCTGCAGAGGCACGAATCTACGTGGATCCTTCATAGAGAGAAGCGAATCTGCTTGGCATTCTAACTAATGTAGATAATGTATGACATCGGCACTACTAGTGACAATGTCGTGATACCCTAGCCATAGAGCATCTAGAACATTACAGCCTTTTGACCATTCGGTCAGCTGTGTGTGTGTGTGTGTGTGGCAAGCAATTTGCCAAAGTGACTCTTGCGGCACTTACACTCCATTAGGCCGGAGCCGCAATCAGGCTGAGAGCCGAAGAGCCGTGCAAACTCACCTTTCTGCTGCTCTTTCATTTGCTCCAATATGTCGAGCAGCTGCGGCGCATCCGAGTGACCGCTATGCTTCTCGAGCACATGCAGCTGCAGCTCCTCGGCCGTAAAGCCGAGCTCATCGCAGAAGGCGCACTTGTAGCTCTGCGGCGCCTCACCGTTGACCATCTCCTCGCCGAGGAAATAGAGCTCAAAGAAATCTTGATTGTAGATAGCCTTCATGGGATGGTAATACTTATGCTTATCGTTCGGCACATTCTTGCCACCATCGTAGCAATCGCCGCAATAGGTCACCGACTCGCCGCAAACGATGCACTCGTAACGCCGACCCAGATTACCATGGGCCTTGCAGCCCAGACATTTGCTGATCTCTTGCGTGGCATTCGATTCGTTCGAAGACATTGCACTCAAATGGGTTTGGTTTTTGATGAAAGGGTTTATCAAACAAGAGTAGCAATAAAATAACTACTATAAAAACTCGGGGGGAAAACGGTTTGAAAACTTTGCCGTTTGCTTCTCACTGGTAGTTTGATAAGATTTTGATTTTTTTGTTCTATTTTTTTATTTTTATATTTTACGTTTACGTTCTTCAAGCTGGGCGAACAATGTTAACAATGAAAAGTAGAGTTGTGCCGCAAAGCTAACGTTATATTTGTGCAGCGCTGCCAACTTGATTTTTTAAGAAAAAAAAAGCAACACTTCAATTTGACAATTGTGTGAATCCGTTAAATATGAGGTATGTCAATCGGAAATCAATTTCGAGAATACCCCTGTGCTAAAAATCTCTGAAATTTAGACATTTACCTATGTACGTTTCTAAGGATAATTAAGAAAGTAAAAAATGGAACGTGTGAAGCAGTTATTGTGAAACATTTCTGAACTGGTTAGAGGAGGATATTCTGAGAAAGAAAAACTAAAGACTCTGAAATGTCAGCTTCTGAGGTTTCGAACCATTTGAGAGAATGAAGCTCTGAAGTGTTTGCAAGCTCAGAACCTTTTAAAACTAGCTCAAAGATATTTTGAGAAAGAAAAAACAATAGACACGGAAAGCTCAGAAGCAAAACAAGTCTACAGCCCCAAAACCAAAGACAATTTAACTAGTTTGTCGATACTTTGAGAACGGAAAACAATAGACATGAAAAATATGTCGGCTTCGACTGCTTTGAACCTTTATTGAACTGGTTCGTAGACGACATCCAGGCATCCAAGCAATCCAGAATTGAAATTAAACAGGAATTTTTAAAATTGCATAAACTTTGTTATGACAGCTTTATTATTAAGTATATTGTATATAAATCTATATTCCTTCATTTCCTTCATTTTATGGATCTTTAGTAGCCATAAACCTGATCAATTTCATTGACGAGCATGGCAATGGTTGAGTCGGAGGTCTCTGAGCCAGAATTATCGTCGTAATCGTCCTCATCCTCATCCTCCACTTCCTCGGCATCGCCCTCACCCTCGCCAGTTTCCTCCTCGTGCTCCTCCTCAGCATCACATTCGGATAACTCGTCGACTACGTTGACAGTGACAACTTTGGGCCCGCTCTCTGCTTTGGTTGCTGGCCCAACAATTGTTAGCTCATCCTCCTCGTCCCGCTCATCGGTGTCCGGATCCATGTCGGAGTCGACGCCGAGCACAGGATCGTGTGTCGCCTGCAAGATCATATCCGGTATTGCTGCAATCTTTGTGTTATTCTCCAGTTTTGTAATCGAAAACTCGGCCAACCATTTATTATAGAGATCGAGGTTCTTGTAGAAGCGCTCCATAATGCCGGCCGGAGAGTTGGCGCTGCTGCTGGGCTCGTCCAAAGGTTCCTTTTTGGGCTTGGGCTTGCGAAGGGCATTTGTCAATTTGGGAATTGCGGCTGGCTGCAGTGTGACCGGCATGAGCTGCTCATCGGCCAGCATGGAGCACAGCAGGGCCTCGATAAAGAGCACACGATGCGACTCTGGTGGCAGCTTACGTTGGGTCTTCTCCAGGGGCACAAACTTAAGGCATAGAAATTTGTGCAGATCCGATTTGTCAGCGCCTGCCTTATCCTTGCCCTGCTTGGTCTTGCTTTTGTCCTTATCCTTACCTTTATCCTTCTCCTGGTAACGTACTTCGCCTGGCGCCTCGCGCAATATATCCGCATAGCTGGTCAACAGACGTTCGGCCCGATGCTGCTGATGCTGCTGCTCCAATAGCGTTGAGGACTGGGCCAAATACGAGACCCAATCATCCTCGGCGGCACGTCTGGGCAATTGGTTATTCGGTTTGGGAAACAAGGTGCCCAGACGCACAGCTGGCGGCATGCTGCGTATGCGACTCACTTTCGGACTACGCATGCCTCGGGCATCCAACACACTCACATCGGGCCGCGCAGGCGGCGGCACCGGCTGCTGCTGAGAATGATGTGCCGCCTGCTGCTGCTGCTGTTGTCCCTGCTGCTGCTGCTGCTGGCCCTGCTCTTGGGGCCGCATCAGCACGTTCATGCAGTGGCTAGAGTAATATCTCGGATTTGTATTGCTCCAGCGCAGCTCCTCCAACACATTGAGCGCCTGCTGCTCCAAGAGAGCAGCACGACGCGCCTGTGTCATCCGCACCGCCTCACGAAAACTGACAGCCGGATCCAAGGCAGCGCGTTGCTGCGAGACCACGGGCAGCACAGGTCGCGGCAAGCTGGGCACATGTCTCAGAAAGGCAGATGCGGATGCAATGGCAGAACGCGAAATGGTGCCCGAACCTGACACCGAACCGGAACCCGAACTGCTGGCAGTCAGACGTCCAGTCGCCGCCGAAGCATCGGCAGCATAGCGTGTATAGAGTATGCTAAAGTATTCATCGAAATCCTTATGACCGCGATGCATATCGGATAAGTGCTTATAGAGCTGCATGCTGGTAAATCCATACAAATCGCAGAGGGCGCATTTATAGCTCTGCGGCACATTGGCCTCCACATAGGATTCGCCGCCAAAATAGAGCTCATATTCGGCGCGTGTATAGTGTGCCTCCATGGGATGAAAGTACTTGTGCTCCGGCGCCTCGGGCAATTGGCCAGAATCGTAGCAGCTGCCACAGAGCTGATAGCCAATGCACATCCAGCAGGCATAACGACGTCCAGCAAAAGCTGCCGTCTGACACTTGCAGCAGACATAGCCAAAATGACGCTCCGGCGGATGGGCAGACGATGGGGCCATGGCTAATAAGACGACAGAAAGCATTCCAGATTCAAAGTGGCTTCAAACAGGGCACAACACAAAAAGAAGCTAGCACAAGTTAAACGCAAGCAAATCACAAAATATATTGACAAATTATATATATGCATATATTGATATATATCTGTCTATGCTTTTGTATACATTGAACTCATCAAACAATTTGTTTATGCAATTTGAGCAAACAAAGCGAGACTTGCTAGACTTTAGGAAGAATTTTCAGTTTTGTGCTTGCCTTGATGTTCGCTTTTTTGTTTTTGTGCCCAGATAAATTTACCATTTACTTACGTGCAAATATTAATTTAATTTAGTTGAAAGCAACTAAATGAATTCTTTGTATATTTTTTATTTCCGTTCTTTTTTTTTCTTTCTCTCACTGACTTGCAACTTGAAGCAAGTGCTGCCACTCGCAACAGCCAAGCCCAAGAAAGCGCTCGTCGGTTTCCACAAAATCCACACGTTCCACAAGCGCCTTTTCGCGCTGCCAACTGACTCGAAGACGTGAATCTCACTGTTTAGTTTATTTTAATGAATTTTAAAGTTTGTTTTTCTTGTTTTCCACACAATTTTATTTAAAACTCACAGTGCACACAAGTCAATGAAAAATTGTTAACTAATGTCTGTCTGCTTTTGTCCTCCCAAGTTAAAATAAAAGCAAAGCCTACTGTTTACACATTTAGAAAACATATTTACCTAAATATGTTCAATTCAATGCTAAATAAGCAAATATATCGAAACAGTGAGAATTGAAATTTGGAAAAACTAATAATAATCCAGAATAAGAAACGGAAATGGTGGCAAAAGATTCAATCATAAAAACTTATTTTATTACATTATACAAAAATTATGTTTTGTAATAATAGTATTTTTTTTTTATTTATTATAATTCTTGTTATTTATGTGATACTTTTAATATATTATGATAATTTTTTCTATAAATTTGTATAGGAAAAAAACTCAAGGAGGCCCCAAGTTTCAAGTGACAATTCTCTAGCTTTTCTCTGAGTCTCTGAGTTTGATGATTTCATTTAGACGGACAGACAGACGGACTTGGCTAGTTCAACTCGACTGCTGATGCTGTTCAGGAATATATGTATATATACTATATGATTTTGGAAAAGCTTTTTTCGGCCTGTTACAAACATTTGCACAAAGTCTTTAGAACCTTATTAGCCATTTTCAATGCGCACTAATTACGTAAAGCTACTTCTTTTGCTTAAATTTCATTACTACGCACTGGATTTAGAAATATTTTAAACAGAGATCAGCTCAAGATGCTTTACAAGCTACAACATATCAAATGGAGCAAAATCCCCTAACGGGCTTATATACAAATGAGCATAAATATTAGGACATTAAGAATTAGAATTAAAATAAAAATTCGTTTTTATATTTATAATTTAATTGAAAGTAAAATAAAATATTTATCGATATTTATCATTTATGGAATGTGATGTTAGCATATTTTTGAATTTATGTTCGGTCTGCGGAAATACAATTGCTTATTTCGCCTAATAAACAATAACAAAAGCTTTAGGTGGGAAGGGTAAAGGTAACTAAACGAATAAATATTTTGCAATATAATCCATTCAAATTCGAAGCTAATTTAACTTAAAATTTCGCATTTAATAAATGTGTAGGCTACAAAAACATTAAAAAAAAGTATTTATTATTTAAACGACAATGTAAAAATATCTTCGGAACGCCGAAGATTTAATACCCTTGTAGACATTTGCCTTTTGCAGTTATGTGAGCATACTGAAGCTCGTAAATGCTGGTTTTGGCGGAAATATCTTGGAAAACAGAATATTTGCCATACAAGAAACTACTTATCGAACAATATGATATAGTAATCCGATCCGTCCGGTTCCGGCATATGTAATTGCCTGCAACAGAAAGACAAACCCTTACAAAGTTTCAAGAAGATGGATAGAGACTTTTTCTCATAGAAACAGACAAACAGACAGACGGATATGACTATATTAACTCGACTGTTGATGCTGATCTAATATAAATCAACTTTATGTGGTCGGAGATGTCTCCTTCTATGCGAATAGGTGAGCATGCATTCGAGTTACATTTAACTTATACAGAAACTCTGCTTCTTTTTCTCTATTATTTGCTCAGCACCTTGGTGAATAGATTCTTGAATAACTTCTGTGTTTGTCGTTCAATAGTTTGGAAAACAAATGTGTGTGGGTACCGAAAGGAGAGATTATCGAGGTACATTTAGCCAAAATTTGTCTCAGTGTAAGCTAAGCAAAATGTAACATTCCGATTATGAGCTTTTTGCTTTCCATTGTCTCTTTAATCGTTACGTTTAAACAAACATGTCGGACAGGCAGAAAGACGGACGGACACGCCTAGATCGTTTCGGCTATTGATGCTCGACAAAGAGATAGACATATCGAAAATAGTTAAATAAAAACTAAAATAAACTAAACTTTTTTAATGTCAATAAAAAACCAATTAATTCGGGAGAAAATTGCTTACCTTTTTTTATGATAGCTTTTTAATTTGATATCACATTTTTTTTTCTTCAAATTTGAACTTTTAGCACTTTCACGTTAGCTCTCATAATAAAGAACTTTCAAAAATGTTTCCTCTTTTTTTAGCATGTTCCATGCGTTGCTTAGACTACACTTCGAGCAGGTGTAGTTGCTGGCCAGTCATGCAAATATCCTGCCACGCCCACCGCCAACACACACACACACGCGCGCGCACACACATAGATATGGTGCAAAAGTAATGCTAAAAACTCTCGTTAACATAATAAGCCTTATTATAGAAATTTAAAGCAGCGTAAAATGCAGCTACATAAATACACACACGCGTCAGGTTGACCTCAATTAAAATAATTTCGCCCCTTTTTTTTTTATATTTTGTCAAGTGTTTTGCCCAACTTGCATTTGGTGTATATACAATTACATGTGTAGTATATACAGCCGAGTGTTGAAAAAGGGCCGTTGACATTTCACGCTTTTAATTAAAAATTGCGCTAGATGCGTAGAAAGAGAAGAAACAGCAACAGAATAGATCCAACAACAACAACAAAAACAACAACAATTTGTGCTAAATGCGGCTTAGAAATTTTGCTATAAATTTCTAAATAATTTGAGTTTGTCATTTGATAATGTTTTAATGGCATGATTTACATTTATTACACACACAAACACAGCCTGTTCGGAATTCCCAAAAATCTGCTTATGACAGCTGAAGCAATTTGTCAGATTCCCAAAAAGGGGGTCAACAGGGTTTGTCTGAGCCACATTGGGATCAGGGGGTGCAGCGGCGTCATGTGCTTGTCGCCTGTTGGCACTGCGAAAGGCCAAAGGCCCAAAACAAATACACAAATTAAGCCATGCTCAGAAATACTCAATTACATGAGTCCAAAATGAAAAGAAAATAAACCAAACTGAGCTGCGAGCCAAAAAGGATTAAATGGCTTTATTGGGGGCTTAAGGCTCGTCATACCCTGTAGCCAAACTGATAAGTCTACAGGGTATGAAGGAATGTGAAACATCACCCAGCAAATCTTTGATACCCATTTCCACTAAGGAGGGATGGAATAAGTAAAAGCTTCTGGTCTATTCTCTAGACATATATTATTGCTATATAACGAAACAACCTTCGATCTAGTTACAGGGTATTTTCTTGAGCAAACACGCACCTAGAACAAATACTGAGCCTAGGCTTAATTCTCAATGAACGCACAAAACGCGTAATTCACATTCAGCATGTTTAAGCTCTAGTTACAGGGCATTTGCTCGTGTAAGCATTCTTCTTGAGCTTTTAATCTCTTGTTTTTTTCGACCTTATGAGGCCAATCGAACCATTATATGCGTATTTTTGGCTAACGCCCAAGTTGAGCCAATTAGTTAAGTAGTTTCATAAATTTCAACCCCTCGAGCAGATCGCATAGTTAAGAAAAACTTAAGCTAAGAACTACGCCAAACCCCAATTCTTAACAATTTTATGTAATTAATAATGTAACTATAAGCAAATTAAAATCTAGAGCTAATAAGCATTTACATTACTTGAAGTGCACGAAAAAATGTGCTTTACGCCAGTTGCCATACAAAGAATTAAATAAAATTGTTCCATTGTCAGCAAAAACTTTTGCATGCAAGTGCAAAAGCATTTTGCCATAATTATTCCTTAGCAAAGATATAGCAGAAGCAGAAGCAGCTCACAAAAAATGTCGGCTAAAATACTCACATATGTATATACATATATATAATTTGGCTGTGCAACTTTTGGCCCTGGTAATATTCATAAGTGTCTGCTTAATATTCATAAAAGCATTTTAATTTGCATTTAATTCAATTATTTTGCGCCACTGTAGATGGTTGCTTTTTGTTTGCCGAGCAGGGGCGGAGGGTCGGTATATTCGTGAGGGGGCTTCTATTAAGCACATGTAACTTTCGACAACTGAAGGGCGCACTGGGCGTGGCACAAGGGCTGTGCCATGTGCACGTCAATTAACAAATAATTTGACGCGACATTTTGTCGTCGCCAAATTAAATTAAAAACCATTTTCTGGCCAGAGTTGCCATCAACACCTAAAAACCCTCCGCCACGCCTCCTCGCCCATTAGGCAGGCAAGCCTGCTTTTGAAACGGAAAAAAAATGACAGAGCATAAACCCTGAAGGCTCTTATACAAAGGGCGTTAAATCGGAACACGGCACAATTTAAGAGCTGTCAAGAGCTCTGCAAAATAAGTTTATCTCCTTTACTTACAATTCAAATTGATGGCCACCATTATGCGGAAGAGAGGGGCGCGGCGCAAATCAATGCAAATCGCACACACACACACAAAAAACTCGCGTTGAATTTTCAGCAAAAATGTACAACTTGCTTTTATTTTATAAACTGTGTATTTCTTCTTTTTTATGATTTTTTTTTTTTTGGCTATTTCCGCAGCTGTTGACGCGCAGAAATTCGCTAACCAACTGAACTGAGTGAATGGCTGACGGGCTGAGCAACTGATGTGGCCCAAAGCGAGCGACACATGTGAAGAGGAAGAAAAGGATAGCCCGGACACAAACACAGTTATGGACTGGCAGAGCCCAGGACGAGTGCATGCAATTTTAATTCGTGTCGTGTAGCATAGTGTTGTTTTTCGCTTTTTTGGCAAGCGCTACCAAAAGAGCTAACGCTAGTTGTTTTCGTTGTTGTTGTTGTTGTTGTTGTTGTTAGGAAAAGTCGCCGGCGACATTCGTCTGGCAGCCTAATTGCCTGGGCGGCCGACCAGCCCAGCTGAGCGGGTCGAGCCAAACAGCTGATGAGTCAGCCGTCATTGGAGTGAAAACTGTAGTCAACCAGTGTAGCAAGTGAGTCAAATGTGCAAATATATATAAAAAACAAGTAAGAGGTTCAAGTCGGGAGCTCCCGACTAGGGGATACCCTGAACCCTCTTCTTCCAACATCAAATGAATATATATATATTTTATTTTAGAAGCTATATGTCAAGTTTGGTGACTCTAGCTCTTATTATTTACCAAAATTGCCCAAAAAACAGGATATCGATATCGATTTCGATTATCGATTATCGATTGCTTGGAAACGGAGTAAGTTATCGATTATCGGAA